TGGGTAAATTTTAGCAATTTGATAAAGTACTAGATAAAGTATTACCAACAATCAATACGAAACTAACGATTTTAAATTGGCTCACTACTTGACTAGCCTTTTGGTCCCAAGCAAACGATTAACGTATCCCATTCTAGTCGAAATTCTAGTACTACGCAATATTTGTTTTGATTCGCTATGAAAGTTTGACAGATAAAATGAGGGGTTATTGGTTTTTCTTATGTTTCGAGGGGTGAATCGATTAGCTTGGGACCGAAGAGAGTACCAGAGCTGAGCCAAAAAGTTGAGCGCGTTATTTCGGAACCTTCTAGTCTTAGAGTTACCTCTATGGTATTACCATAGAGGTAACTCTAAGACCACTGGGTCCCGAAGAAAATCATTATTATTTTTGGCTCACTCAGTACCAGAACAACGGTCCCAAGCAGTCCCAAGCTATTTCACTCACCCCTGCATGTTCTGCATGAATCCACACACCCCTGATGTTATCTGTCAAACTTTCATAGCGAACCAAAACAAACATAGTGTAGTAATAGAATTTCAACTAGAATAGGGTACGTTAATCGTTTGCTTGGGACCAATAGGCTACTAAAGTGGTGAGTCAATTTAAAATCGTTAGTTTCGTATTGATTGTTGGTATTACCATAGAGGTAGCTCTAAGACTAGTAGCAACAATCAATACGAAACTAACGATTTTAAATTGGCTCACCACTTTAGTAGCCTATTGGTCCCAAGCAAACGATTAACGTACCCTATTCTAGTTGAAATTCTATTACTACACTATGTTTGTTTTGATTCGCTATGAAAGTTTGACAGATAACATCAGGGGTGTGTGGATTCATGCAGAACATGCAGGGGTGAGTGAAATAGCTTGGGACTGCTTGGGACCATTGTTCTGGTACTGAGTGAGCCAAAAATAATAATGATTTTCTTCGGGACCCAGTGGTCTTAGAGTTACCTCTATGCTAGTAGGTCCAGAAGAAACGTGTTCAACTTTTTGGCTCAGCTCTGGTACTATCTTCGGTCCCAAGCTAATCGATGCACCCCTCGAAACATAAGAAAATCCAAAAACCCTCGCATGAACCCCTCATTATATCAGTCAGACTTTCATAGCGAATCAAAACAAACACAGTGTAGTACTAGAATTTCGATTAGAATGGGGCACGTTAATCGATTTGCTTGGGACCAATAGGCTAGTCAAGTAGAGAGCCAATTTAAAATCGTTAGTTTCCAACCGATGGTATTACTGGTAATGCTGGATCATACGGCAGCAAAACTTGCGGTGAGACAAGGGCTTGCTTCAGGTCTTGGTATGCTCTGTTAGCTTCAGGTGTCCATCCAAATGTGTCACTAGCCAGCATTTCACGCATACTTCGAGCCCTAAATCACAGATTTGGGATGAAAGCACTATAGTAGGTCGTCTTACCCAAGAAAAGCTGCAACTGCTCTGGGGTTTCCGGACGTGTTGCATCACGGATTGCTTCGATGTGCTTGTCTGACTTGAGCAGACCGTGACGATCAATTCTATGGCCCAGGCATTCGAGAGACGACGTAGCGAAAATACATTTCAAACGATTGAGTCGTAGTCCGTGTTGTTTCAACCTGCTCAAGGTCGCTGTGAGGGCTAGTAGAAGATCGTCGAAGTTGTCTGCGTAGACGATGATGTCGTCATAAAATCTGACGACGTTGTCCAAGCCTTGAAGAACGGTATTGATGCGTCGTTGCCAAATGGCCAGAATATTCGCAGCATCAAAAACAATGAGTCCATGCGTTGCAGTATTGAGTGTGAACACATGAAGGAAGACGTTGTCGATGGGTAGATGCGTGTAGGCGTCGGTCAGCTCCAGATGACAAAACAATGAGGCTCCCTTCATTTTGATGAATATTGTATCGACCTTCGGTATTGGGTGCTTGTCGACTATCATCCTAGGATTGACGGTAGGTTTATAGTTCCCAGTGATCCGAATGTTTCCAGTTTTCTTCACGACGATGTGAGTCGGTGATGCCCATTCTGAAAACTCCACCTTTTCGTAGAACCCTGCAGATATTTTCCTGACGATTTCAGCTGCATAGCGATCACGCAGAGCGAGAGGTACAACCCGAGCCTTGGCAACAATTGGAGCTATTCCTGACTTTAAATGCACTTTTGCTGGCGGTCCAATCAGTTTACCGGGAACTTCACTGAAGATTTCTTCGTAGTTGTCCAGTAATCCTGACAGTTGCGCTCGTTGATTTGGAGTAAGTTCGGTGAATGTAACCGCGTTGACAGATGAGTCTACAGCGAACATTTGGTTCAAATTTATCTGGTCAGCAAACTGAGAGATCCACTCGCGCCCAAAGACGGATACATGCACAGGAAGGCGACCAAGGCAGTTCCATTTGAAGGCGATCAATGCAGCTCCATTTGAAGGTGTTGGTCATCGATTACAACGTCGATCATTTTCTTCTTGGTATGGCATTTGTCGTCAACTTGACCCAGTGTCTATACCACATCGATTTCGGTAGCTGGGTTCTCTGACGACTCTACTTGATCAGTGGAAGAGTTTTTGAACTTCGGCCTTCCCGATCGACACACCTTGCCAATATGACATTTATTCCGCATATGTTGCCCACCACATCCGTTGCAGGAACGATCTCCGATGATCCCCGCTGGTACAACTGATGTTGAAGTGTTGATGCGTGACGACTGCTCTTTTTGGTCCTCGGTATTTCATATCCGAGCTTGTTCGTAGCCTCAGGTTCCGTCGATGAGGTTCCCGTGTTGACTTCCCTTGCTGTGTTACGGGTTGCTTCCAGCGTGTGTGCGATGTCGTACGCAGCCTTGAATGTTGCTGGATTCTTCGCGATGTCACACCTTGCAGCGCCTTGCTTCAAACGAAGAACGAACTGGGGAACAGATTCACAGATTGGTGCGATCAAAATGATCGGTGAGAATGACCCATAAATCATCGTTGCTAATCCCGGCAGGGTCACGGGGACTCACAAGGAACTACAATGCGCCCATCCCAAGCAAAATTGCAAGTTTTATTGAAGTTTTATAGCATACTACAAGCCTAAATCATGGTCTACATAACCCTCATAAAACCCAAATTGTTACTTGGGATGTGTACTCTAGCATAATTCGCGTACTGAGCTTCCGGAATGTGAATCAGCTGCAATGCCCACTTGAACCTCTTGAAGTAGTCACCGACGGATGCTTCTTCCGTGGAGCAGAACTTTGACATGGAGAACGGGGGTACCTTCGGCGACGGAGCAGCAGTTTCTCCTGCCTGATCCGGGTTCGCTTGTTGGACGACACTTACCATTGATGCTCTCAGAGCCTGCGCGATCTTTTGGGACAGTACCTCCATGAGCTCTGGAGTCACTTGAGCCATTTTTGTTGCCCGGAGTATGAATTTTTACGACGATTCTAACCTCACTTTCGGAACGCTAAAGGGTTTTCCAAACCATTCCACTTCTGACACCAAATATTACGTATCAGTGGGTGTTTCTGTGAGGAAAGTAATAAACCGGTTCTACCAACGCGAGAATTAACTTTAATTTGAACTTTAAATAGAAGTAAAGCTTTCAACATTAAGCCATTCGAAATCGAACATGCGGTTTTTATATGGGTCCTTCCAGCTCAAGTAGGTACAGAATTTAAAAAGTGGTGGTCGATGTCACCGATTTGAGCCAAACTTGGCCAAAACGCTTATTTTGGCATTCTGAACAAAAGCCCTTTTTTTATTTTGCTCTAAAGTACCTAGACCCTTATGGGCTACAAGCCTGGGCTTCCGAGATTTTTAAAAATTTCAACTTTCAGAAGAGATTATCCTCATCCAATTAAGCTTTTCGTGATCTTAGAACATCAATATGAAGGTTTTGTAATGTAGATTCTTATAGGTGTATTCTCATTTTGTTTTGTTATAGTAACTCCAGTAAACAGGCTGATTACCGGGAGGTATCCAAATTGCCAAAAAATGACCTATTCTCACCAAGGGCGGAATTCAACAAAAAATAAAAAAATATTGATTTCCAACCTGAAATGCTCAAAACTATCACTCACTCAGCTGGTTTGTCCAAATCATTTGCCCTTGGAAACACATCAAGTAGAAGAGTTTCCCACAGTGTGGTGAAAATTTGAGCCCAAAATATTAAGAAATAAATAATCCCGCCCATGGTGAAAATAGGTCAAATTTTGACAATTTTGATACCTGCCGGTAATCAAACTGTTTACTGTAGTTACTATAACAAAAACAAAATGTGGTTCCACTTATAAAAATCTACATTAAAAACATTCAAATTGACGTTCTGAGATCACGAATAGCTTATTTGGTTGAGGAGTAATCTCTTCTGAAAAAAAAATGTTTAAAAATCTTCCATAACCCATAAGGATCTAGGCACTTCAGAGCAAAATCAAAAAAGGCGTTTGCCAAGTTTGGCTCAAATCGGTGACATCGACCACGGGGGGTGTACCCACTTGAGCTGGAATGACCCATATTCTTCTATCGACTGAAAACCTTGCATACACTGATTGAAAACGTTACATGGAAAATGAAATGAACAAACATAATACTTCTGAGCTTCACAGTGGGTCTGAAATCTTTGATGTCTTCGACAACATTTTTCAGAGCTATAAAATGCACAACATTGACGAAGAAAGGACTTTCCGTTCAAAAGATATATTCGAAGGAGGAATACGAACTGATACTGCAAATCTGTACGATGCATACATATGGCGCTAGAGGTTTTGGCCACGCTACGGCCATCGTTGCCTCACTGTACATACTCTAAATCGTCGTCGAAAGTAATTTCAGAATTAATTCCTCCAAGTCGCAACCCAAGTAACAATTTTGGTTTTATGAGGGTTCTGTAACATCTAAATGAACAACAATAGAAGTTTATAAAACTAATAACATCTAACAACACTAATAACATTCAAACATCAATGAAACTCCACGCGCATTTTTTTTCTGTTTTTGAAATCATTTAATGATAGGTTTCAACTTTACAGTACATGTACAGTTTTTGTCTTAGTACTTACTTTGTTTTTTTTTTTTCGAAAGAACAGACTAGATTTTTTTTCCTTTTTTCAGTTAATAATTTAAATTAAATTAAATTTGGTTTAAAATGCAAAGAAAACCTACTAATCCTTACTCAGTTACTTTTTTTTACTTCATTATTTACTTTGTTTCTCACAAGCTTTCGTGAATAGCCACACACCTACGATTTTTTGTTACTTTTTTTTTGTTTAGTACTCTGATTAATCCTACTAAATGTGTTTTTTTTTTGTTTTCCTCATATTGTTGTGTTTTTTTTTTTCTTCTTTTATTTAGCTAGCGTTTGCATTTCCTTATTTGTTTTCGCGTGTGAATTCATTTAAATTCTGCTTCCATTCCGTCCTCAGACCGGCGTTCATCGTTTTTATTTTTTCTACTGGCTTGCTGCTTTGTGTGTGTGTGTGAGTCGCGACTGCGTTCAATAATCCTTTGGAATTAAATTAATTTATTAGTTGAGAACGTGCTGCTGATAGTTATGTTCCATTGGACCGCCGTCGGACGCAAACGAACTATCGTAACCGCCGAGTGCGTCGTCCGACGAGTCGTCTTTCAGGTGCTCCAGGATAAGGTTATCGTTGCTACTGCTGTTGCTACCACCGCCGCCGAGCATGCCGAGGCCACTGCCCAGGCCGCTGCTTCCACCGCCGCCGCCACCACCACCGTTGCGAGCCGCCTTCATCGCGTCGTCCTTCCACTTGTCCATCGAACGGCGCCGGGCGTTCATGAAAAAGTTGCCGACCGTTGTCGGTTCCAGCCCGAGCTGCCGGGCAATCGTCACTTGCATCTCCTTCGAAGGTCTCTTAGTTTCCTGGAAGAGGAAAGGAACACATTGTATGGGATTGTGCAGCTACATTTCTGCTACTAGCGATCAAGGGTAACCGGCCACAGCTTGCTAATGGCGCTGCTGTATATTGAGGGTCGTTTGTAAAAATTTCTCATGACATGCTGCTTGCTGACCTGTCAGTTATATAAAGCCAGTTGAGGTTAGTTCATGCTTTCCCCAGTGTGAGAATCTTTGAAAATCAACCAGCAGTGCCCGTATTTATTGGGCGAATCTGAGAATTATCCATAGGTCAAAATAGTGATCAAGGTGGTATTATTTTCCCAACAGGAAAAAAAATAATTCCTGCGAAATGAATCAAAGAATGTCAATATTATTTATCTATGTTAAATGTATGCATTACTCTAGGTAACTGGATGGCATAAGTGTTGTCCTAAAAAATCATCTAAATGGTAAAACTGCCGCAAATATCTTTTTAAGAATAAATGTTTCTATTAACACTTGGCTGAACGTGTTGAGATGTTTCCAATAACTAGTCAACTAGGGGAAATGGCTCTAATGTTGGCCTATGGATCTAAGATTGGGCCCATCGCTAAAATTCTGCTATTTATCAATTTTATCTAGATGAACGGTTGCTTGGGATGGTACTTATGGATATTTTTGGTCGCTATTGAAAATTTAGTCGATTGCTGAATTTATATATGGACCCAAATTAGGTGCATTTAGGCCGACATTACATCCATTTCCCCTACGTAATGCTTATTTTGCTCCACCACTCAATGTGAACCTATGGATACAACAAAATGTTATTGAAATTGAAATTGTGATTCTTGGGTATTTTTTTTTTAATCAACAGAAAAATTTGCAGGCCCTAAAATTCAATTTTTTTTTTTTTTGAAAAGGGATCATAGTCTCTCAATTTTATTTCATCTTAGTATCACCAACAATCAATACGAAACTAACGATTTTAAATTGGCTCACTACTTGATTAACCTATTGGTCCCAAGCAAACGATTAACGTACCCCATTCTAGTCGAAATTCTAGTACTAAACAATGTTTGTTTCGTTTCGCTATGAAAGTTTGACAGTTAAAATGAGGGGTTAGTGAATTTTCCTATGTTTCGAGGGGTGAATAGATTAGTTTGGGACCGAAGAGAGCAACAGAGCGTAAAGGAATTCAAGAAAAAAAAAATTAAATAGCATTGATTTTCCACCAGAAAAGCTTCAAACTCCAACTCACTCATCTTGTCATATTTCAAAAACTATTTGTCCAAATCATTTGCCCTTGGAAACAAATCAAGTAGAAGAGTTTTCCAAAGTGTGGTGAAAATTTGCGCCCAAAATATTAGGAAATAAAAAATCGCGAAATGATGGACGATGGCATGACCGGTGTAAGGCTTGTACTCGAAAAAAAATGCACCATTTTTATCCGTGTGTAACTTTTTTATTCGTGGGTAAAAATTGATAAAAATCTGGGTATAACTAGTTTGGAGTGAATTGTTTACACGTGAAAAATTTCATAACAATCGGTTCAGTAGTTATTGAGATGTCATCGAAACAAGAAGAAAATCGCCGGAGAATTTTGCGCGCCGTCATGGAAAATCCGACTACGACCATGAGATGGATCGGAAGACAACTGGGAATCACCCATACAACTGTGTCTCGGGTGGTAAAATCGTTTAAAGAGTCCCAGACGACCGAGCGGCGGGCTGGAAATGGAAGAAAATCGAAGACAGCTGACCCTGTGAAGGCCCGGAAGGTGTTGGATTATTTCAAACGTAATCTGAACCTTTCGATTCGCGACGCGGCTCTGAAGGCAAAGTGTTCCGCCTGGTTCGTTCAGCAAACCATGAAACGAGCTGGGCTTCGTGTTTTCAAGGTCCAGAAGGCACCGAACCGGCGTGATCAACACGGCGGCCAATTCCTGCGCAAGGAAGCTGTATCGAGAGTAGTTAACGAAACCGATGGATGATGAAACCTACATCAAGGCAGACGCAAAGCAGATACCGGGGCTGGAGTTCTACGTTGTCAAATCACGGTTTGATGTTCCGGAAGACATAGTGGAAGAAGAAAAATACTTGCTCTGGCAGTCCATATGCCAATGCGGTAAACTGAGTAAACCGTACATCACAATGGGTACCATCAACAGCGAAATTTACCGCACCGAGTGCCTACAGAAGCGTCTGTTGCACTTCCTGCGGTCCCACGGAGGCAAGGCATTATTTTGGCCGGACCTGGCATCATGCCATTACGCGCGATCGACGTTGGATTGGTACAGAGACAATAACGTTGTTTTTGTACCAAAAATCGCCAACCCCCCAAATTCACCAGAGATTCGTCCGGTGGAAAGATTTTGGGCCATAATGAAGGCCAAAGTTCGAAAATCGTCCAAGGTGTTTAAGAACGAGCTAGAGTTGAAGAAAGAATGGATGAAAGTGACCAAAAAGGTCGGCTCCACCATTGCACAAAATGTAATGAGGGGTCTTAAGGGAAAGGTGCGGGCTTTCAGTGATGGAAAGTAAATTGAATAAAGTAATTATGCCGAAACATAATCCATATGTATTAGTTCATTCCCTGAAAGTTTCAAGAAAATCCGACTTAAAATAAATTTTTGACAAACACTTTTGTCTGGTGCATTTTTTTCGAGTACAGGCCTTATAAGGCAAAAAATCACAGCTTGGTACTGTCCAACAGACGAACACTTTTGTCTGGTGCATTTTTTTCGAGTACAGGCCTTATAAGGCAAAAAATCACAGCTTGGTTTCACGACGTATAACCAACAATCAATACGAAACTAACGATTTTAAATTGGCTCACTACTTGACTAGCCTATTTGTCCCAAGCAAACGATTAACGTACCCCATTCTAGTCGAAATTCTAGTACTACGCACTGTTTGTTTTGATTCGCTATGAAAGTTTGACAGATAAAATGAGGGGTTATTGGTTTTTCCTATGTTTCGAGGGGTGAACCGATTAGCTTGGGACCGAAGAGAGTACCAGAGCTGAGCCAAAAAGTTTAGCACGTTATTTCGGGACCTTCTAATCTTAGAGTTACCTCTATGGTATAACCATAGAGGTAACTCTAAGACTAGAAGGTCCCGATGAAACGAACTCAACTTTTTGGCTCAGCTCTAGTACTATCTTCGGTCCCAAGCTAACCGGTGCACCCCTCGAAACAAAGGAAAATCCACGAACCCCTCATTTTATCTGTCAAACTTTCATAGCGAATCAAAACAAACATAGTGTAGTACTAGAATTTCAACTAGAATGGGGTACGTTAATCGATTTGCTTGGGACCAATAGGCTAGTCAAGTGGTGAGCCAATTTAAAATCGTTAGTTTCGTATTGATTGTTGGTATAACTCTGATTGTCCTGGTCCTGGTAGCTCGATTGTTTTGATTTGACTATTTTCCTTCCGGAAATTATTCCGTGGTCAGCTGTTCTCTCATTTTCAGCGCAGTACCGATGCCCTGGTTTTGATGTATTTTCTGCTATTGAAGGTGTACTGCTTCGGACAGCCAATAGGATGTTCGCAGCTTGGGAATCCAACACGGTTTTGCAGAATCTATGGTGGATGTTGGCCGAAAATTCGTGGTTGCTATTAAACGAATCCAAACAGTAGATTGTGTCAACAACAATGATTTGACACATGCTCTGCGTAGGCGCAGAAATAGTCCAGTGTTGCCAGTAACTTCAACGATCATGAAAATTTATACCATGGGTACCAAATCTTTTTGTGGCACACTGTACGGAGTGACCAATTGGATTAACCCCTTGGGCGATAATGAACATCCACGAATGAAGAAAAACAAATGTTAACTTCGAAACCACTCAGAGGTTGCCTTGATCAAAAGAATGTTGTTATGCCAAAATTTTAATTCATGCAGGTAGTTAGTCTATCCGTTAAGGATGTCTTCATTTTCAGTTAAGTTGAGTGTATACACTCTATAGAAGAAATGATTTTTATCAGCACTGCTTATGAGAATTTTAACATTCATCAGCAGATGAATGAGAAAAAAACATTAGGTACGTTGGAATGAAGAAGCGGATGATGACGTAGCTGACAACCGTTGATGCCACATCTCTTATTGCTGCGACAGGATCTCCGTCTATGCCCAAATAAGCACGTTCTGCATAAACTTTGGCTGTGCACCCTTTTCCAGCGCTCGTCAATCGATAGCGCCTGGAACTCCTTACACTCCCTCGCTTGATGTCCGACCTTCCTGCATGCAGTACACTCGATACTCGTAAGAGCCCCAGCTACGTTTCGATCTTGCCCCTGTTCACTCGGATTGGAAGGTCTTGATTCCGTATCAGCATGAGCGAAGCTACGATCTGATTGCTTTGGTTTCTCGCACCGTTGAGTTCTGTCATTTCCACCACTGTACGATGATACGCTACACGCATCCGCAACAATGTCCTCCATACATATTCCGAAGGTTAGTTATCCACACCATGCTGTTTCCTGAAGCCTGCCCACTTCATTCTGTACTCTGCTGGTAATTTGTAGACGAGATCCTTCAGCAACGTTGGGTTGGAGAGATGGTCCAACAGTTCTGCCGCCACCATATGGTCACATAGGGCCTGGACAACCATTCCATATTCGATGATTGAGTCGAGCTTGTCGAGCTTTAACTTTTTCGATAAGTGATTCGATCAACAAATCCGATCGCCCATAGCGCAATCGAAGTGTTTCAATCACGTTAGGCACAGATGCAGGAAGAATCAACCGACTTCTCACGGATTCCCACGCTGCACCTTTTAGACAACGTTGAAGTCGGATCATATTTTCTCCATCGCTGTAGCCGCATGCCTCCGTGGTGTATTTATAATTACTTATGAAGACAGGCCAATCGGCTGGATTTCCTGCAAATATAAGCAAATCTCGTGGAAGTATCTGACGGGCTGCCAGTTGCTGGGGTGTAGGTCCTCCATCACCCAGGATTGGTAGATATGGACTCGGTGGGTCTCGTACCGGACGTGGTAGTACCGGATATGATGGATCTCGTATCGGGCGTGTTGGTACC